TTTTTTTTGTTTCAGCTTAGTTATTGCTTCTGCAACTGAAGCAGATGGGGGTGAGGGGAGAGGAGAGAAAAGGAGGTCGTTTTGTGAATTCAACGCCTGCTTACCGGATGCATCAGAACCACCCGGGGGCCATACGCGAGAAAGCTAAATGTGAGCGTCAATCTTACTCATGTCTTTATTTAATGCGACACTTATTTTATTCCTCTTGTTTCTGTTCATATCGTGGTTTGTTTTTGTTTTTCCTATTCGCTCTAGTGACCCGCATCGCCACTCGGTTGTCATGGCGAGCCTTGGGCCACGTCTACAATGGCGTCAGAAGGTGCGCATACACTTCAAGGCAATTTGCCAGGCACTCCCTCTATCGCTTCTCATTGTGGCGGAGGGAAGGGACCTTTACTACCGTGCCACGTGGCAGGTGACAGAGCTTCCACCGAGCGAATTCAGCACGGGGGATGTTGTCGCCATCTGCAACCGTTGGTACACACTACCGACGTGGAGTCACATGTTNTACAGCGTGCTATCGAAGGTCCTGCTGAAGTCCACATGGGACGATGTGGGCGTAATGTGGATGAAGGATGGGGAGCCACACATCTGCTTCTGTGACTTTGAAGGAGCTAAGGTGTTGAGCCTGCAGGAGTTCATAGAGACACGCATGCCGCGCGGTATGGCGGTGCGGAAACTTGCCGTAGACGACCCGAATGTGGGGCGTAAACCAAGCCCCTCTGTCGTTTCCCTCTTCGCAGTGGAAGTGCAGAAGATAGCACCACAACCATGGTACCTGTTTTCGGCCAGCATGCGGCGGGGGCACGAGCATAAGTACTATGAGTTTGCTGTGGAGATGAGTAAACAGAGGCAGAAGATACATGAAATGTCGCGAAAACACGCGTCACCTCTAGCCATCAAGGGGCAAAAAGAGAAACTGGGCGATATGGAGGTAATGCGACAGCACCTAGCGACCTTTGTGGAGGAGGGAGAATCGTTTCACCTCTTCAACGGTTCGTTGGTCGCCTCTTTCTTGGCGACCTTTGATCTGCTCGACAGGAATATGCCGCCGCCGTCCCGCTACGTGCCGCAGGACTTTGCGCATGACCTGCCGTTCAAGTGTGTGGCGAATTTGGAGGAGCCGCTAGTGTTCTTCAAGAATTGATGGGAGAAACATCCTCCCCCTGCGGAGAGAGGGTCTGTGTGTGGTGAGTTGTGTGGTGTGTGTGTGTGTGAGGCATCCTTAGTGTTTGAAGACAACAAAAAAAGGCATCGTCGTTTTTGTTGGTGTTGATGACGATAATGTTGCTGCTCCACTTTACATATATATATATCTCTCTCTCTTAATCTGTGCGTGTGCATTTGTGTTCCACTTTGTCTCTTTTTACTTTCTTACACTTGTGGTGCCAGCAGGAACTGGGGTAAAAGGGGGAACAAGGGCACCAAAGCAATGGTCGTAAAATCTTCAGCGCCTTCTCCACAGTCAGAGACAAAACACGTCACATTCGGTTCTGTGACAATTGTGCATGTTCCGCGCCGCCGCACCTGTTCTTCCTCGTCGTCCACTTCCAACTCCCTCCCTGCCACTGACAACAGCGTGTCAGTTGATCTGAATTTGTTAGTCTCGCCGCATGTTGGAAGCGAGGTCGGCCACGCAACTCCAGAGGAGGCGCGGGAGTGGCACACTGCCCTGGTGGCGTCACAAGGCTCCGACTGTTCTCTGCTGCTCACTCAAGCCGCTCTGTGTTCTTCGTATGATGAGAGCGGTGATGGCTCTTGCGACGACAGGGAAGACGAGCACGCCCTTCCTGCTGCTGGCACCCCCGCAGTCTTCTCGCCGCTGCAGTTGTCATGTCCGTGGAGCAGCAGTTCTCAGTCGACGCAGGTGGCATCGCCTGTAAGTTGTCATGGTAGCGGTTTGGCATCTGCTTCTGTAGAGGAGCATGAAGTCCTCGGGGGGACACCCCTCTCGGCGAGTTCTGATACTTCTTTTGCGCTAATCAATGCAGATCGCGAGAAGGAGGAGGTGGAAGAAGAAGAAGAAGAGGCCGATGCGACAGCGGCCGCGCGCAATGTTCGCCGCCGCGTTGAAGTTTGTAAGGCGGCGTCCACTGCCACGTGTGTATTCTGCCACGTCAGCAGGGAGCCACTAGAGTGTTACGAAGGGCATTATCTTCACTTGGCATGCGCGCTGTGGTGCCCAGAGGTGTACTACGACACGGAGGCGACCACGCTGCGGAACATAAATGCCGTGTTGGAGCGGTGCCGACTCATCAAGTGTGTTCACTGCCGACGTCCTGGCGCCCCTGTTGGTTGCGTAAATGAGCGATGCCAGCGAAGCTATCACCTGCACTGTGCGGTAGAGGCAGGGGTAACGCTGAATGAGAAAACGTTTGAGATGCTCTGCCCAAAGCACAGCAGTAAACGCAATCAGCTGTAGGTACTGGTTTCTACTTGTTTTATCTCAATTATGGATCGAGTCTGCATTG